ACTGAGACTATGGCCCCTAGCTGCCCTTCAGGTCTGGAATTGAACACACACCTGTAGCTTCCAGCCAAGCAGTAGACAGGCATACTAGTTGAGCATTTATCTGAGGTAGATACACTACTTGGAGAGAACAAGTAAGAGAGAAAGAATGGCTGCTCAGGCACAGGGAGACAGCTCAGAGGGTAGGAGTGCATGGAGGGATGGTCACAGGGAAGCGGTACCTATCGGGAGGAAGTGGGAGAGGAGATATTGCATTGTGCTAAATTGTGGACAATGTCATGAGACAAAGTGTATGTGATCTGCTGTATGGAAAGTGTATTTGCTCTGTCAATTTTCACCCAAATCACAATAAAAATTAAAAAATAATAATAATAAAATAAAATCAGCTTTAAAAAAAACAGTAGGTGAAAACTGCCATTTTCTTTTACGATATTCACTCCAGAATAAAATTCTAAATGAACATTTTCTAAGCTATAGTAAATAATCTCATAAAATCTGTTAACTTACTTATTTTTTAAAAAAATACTTTCATATATTCCAAATCAGTGGTAAAATTAATTCTTCTCTAATTTTGTATTGAATTCCTTGAAATTATTTACTTTATATTGCAATAAATAGATTCAATGTTCTTGAATTGTCTCAAGAAAACCAACTTCATCCCTTTTAGAGAAATCCATATCAAGAAAAAAAATCTTCTTTTCCAACCTAGTAAGGTAAATTGCAAAAATTATTTCCCAAAACTAAATTCTGTGAGACCTAAATTATTATACTATTAATTTATATCCTTATATGGTGGTGTTTAATTATACCTAGTCATATTTGTTTTTCATTTCAATTTTTAAAAAATGTTTTAGAAAGTAAATTATAACACTTTTCATCAAATCAAATGACATACTAACAAAACATGTTAGTAGACAAAATAATATATCCTTATTTTCCTCAGACTCAACGGCACCTAACAACAATTTCCCTCAGAAATCCCTTGACATATTCAAACAAGAGTTCAATTTAAACTTTTCTTTGAGAGTATCTTTAATGCTTGTTCATTCAGTTATGTGTATAATAGTTACTATTATTTCTTTAAAAATGCAACAAATGTTGGCAACATATCATAAATAATGTTGAACGAGCAATGACATACTAAAAGAAAATATGTTCATCATACAGATAAGACAAAAGCGTAATACCCCTAATAATAAAGAACTATTACATATCAAAGGGAATAAAAAGACCAAATACCCACTAAAAAACTGAATTTAAAAAAGAAAAAAAAAACTTGACAAAACAGTAGAACAGATACTTTCTGAAAAAAGATACAGAGATGATATTAAACATATGAAAAAACGATCACTTTCACTTCTAGTGAGAGAAGTACAAATTAAAAATACACTAAAAGTTCTGGTAAGATGGCAGACTAGGCAGAAGGACTGCACAGACCCTCTTAAACAAAGAAAAGGGAAACCAATTCACACAGAGACAGAAGATAATCCTGGACACCTGAGCCTTGAAGGGAAGGATATAGAAGTGGACGAAACTCCACCCAGCAGAAGAATTTGCATGAAAACACCAAAAAAGGAGACACACGGAGCTGTGGTCTGGCAGCGAACCTGACAGCACTGACAGTTTGGATATTGCTGAGTGGTGGTAGGACCTAAGAATTAACCTAAAAATTGGCCCTGCTAGCCAGGGACTAGAAACTCTGGTAGCCTAGTGCATATAAGGCACTTGACTGCTAACCAGAAGGCTGGTGGTTCAAACCCACCAGCCACTCCTCAGGAAGGAAGGTTAGGCAATCTACTTCTGTAGATACTGCCTCGGAAACCCAAGGAGGGGTCACTATGAGTCGGGTCCCACTCGATGGCACATAACAACAGCCAGGGACTGCACGGAGGACTGAGCTGGTGGCTGGGGAAGTAAAGGGGAGGCAGTGAAGAGGACAGCGGGCTGAACTGTGGACTTTTGTCTGTCCAGAAGGTGCAGGTATTTTGAAAGCTTATAAGCGGCTTGACCCTTTTGGATATTTAAAGGGACAGCATTCTCCCAGATTCTAGGGACTTAAGAACAGGGTCCACTTGCCAGTAACCCCAGGGAAAATCCGGATGGAGGACTGGAAAAGTGCGAAATTCCCCTTGTTATTCTTATATCCCACACCCTCTTGGTGAACAGAGGTGAGGCCATTCCTCACTCCCACCCACCTTCTGGCGGGCAGGAATTCCACCCCAATCTATGTGCTTGGACAAAGCCTGGGTGCCATGTCCTGCCCTCCCCGGAATTTTTTTTTCCTTCTTTTTTCTGTTTTTTAGTTTGCTTGTTTTTGTCTATTTTAAAACTACTATTATTATTATAACTTTTGTCCTTTTTACTATTACTCTTTAATCTTCCCCTCCCAGGTCCTAGTTTTCAGCTTTTTTCTTTTCCCTGTTTCTGGCTGTAATTTTCTATTATTTATTTATTTGTTTGTTTGTTTGTTTGTTTGTTTTTCACTCTCATGGTTAACCCCAATCCTTGTTTTTCTTTTTGCCTTTTTCCAATTATTTTCTTCATTATTCTCCTTCTCTGCCTTTTTTCTCTTATTGCCCTCTCCACAGATATTGCAGACTTTTTTTCTTCTTCTACTTTTTTCCTTCTTTCTTTTTTTGATTGCTGTTCCTGTGTAATTACAAGGTGTATTTTTCTTCCATGTGCTTTTATGTTTTTGATGGTTATTCCATTGTTATTTTTCTCTAACTGAATGGAAGACAGCAACAGTCCCCGTACAACAGAACTAAACCCGCACCTCCTGCAACTTCACTGCTGAGTGAGAGCCACCACTTCTTTCTCTACCAATGGGCCAATGATAAACAATTACCAAGAAGAGCCTGACTCAGTCTTGGCTGCTCTTCACAGACAGTTAACAGAGATCTAAATACAACAACACGGCGATGTGTCAGAGACAACAGACCATCATAGTCCACACAAAGAAGAAAGATAAAGTGGTAGAAACAAGGGAGGAAGATACAGACCCAGAACATATCCATGAGGAAGTAGCAGCACTGGAACTCTCTGATAAGGAA